ACGCTAGGCTTTTATTGCTCATCAGTCGAGGTCAAATTAAAAATCGAGACCTGTTTACTTAGGTATCTACTTTAAGGGTCAGAAACAAAGCATAAATTTAGTTTAATTTACAACCATTGATGGAATTTCCTGATCCATTATGGCTCTCGTTCTGCTAAGAGAGCTACTTAAACTTAGAGGTCTTTAGTGTCGTCCACGGCAAAGACAAGCAGCCTATACATAATGCTCCATTTGCAACAAACGATAAAATGAAAAGTAAAATAAAATGAAAAAGAAAATGCACAATGGTGAACTAGGTTCGATTGGTTCGGTGCGTTCGGGCATCGACGTATGACCGTTCGCGAATCGACCTCTGACCGTTCGCCACGAATCGACCATTGCCGATGTCGACCTTTGCTACTCGTTCGCTTTTAGAGCTTCTTTTCAATCACCTCTACTATTGGCTAGAGGATTGGCGGCGAAATCGGGACAAGTTTGAATTCAAATGTAGGGCGGGAACTAATAAATAAAATTGCGGAAACAAAGTATTTTAGGTTGATTTTTGCCCAAATTCAGGTACACACTCATATTTTATTAACTTTCGGTTAGTTTCGGTCCGTCGTCGACCGACTGATTTCACTTGGGAGTAACGTAGATCTAGAACTGTAACGGCCTGTTTGAACCTGCAGAACCACCATAAGCAGAAGATTATCTGAGATTACTGCCTGTTACCGAGCAAAAGTAGGTGTAATATATTAGGACGCAGACCGAACTTTCTTAATATAATCGTTTAAAGCATTTAAAACACGTTTCGAAGAAGAAATAAGGAAAAATCAAGAGGACAAGTTCAAATCAAATTTCCGTTTGCCGCCATGGATTCCCGCGCTCATTTACACACTCACACAAACGCGCAGCGCCGAACCTAGCTTCACTTTTTCCCCGTGCTTTTAGATACGAGCACTCCGTCTTTATGTCTTTGGCTTAATCTTATACTGAAACGTGTATGAAACGCTCACGAGGGGGGCTGAAAGTGAAAAGTGAAAATAAAGAACAAAAAGAGTTGAGAGGCAAAATATTTTTATTTTAGATTCTCCATTCAAAATAAAATTAAGAGCGTCACTTGCCTTTCCGTTCAAGATCATTTCCAATCAAACAACAAATGAACAAAGTTATGTCTGGTAGTGGAAGTGATGCATATAAGATCTTTGATGAAAATGACGTGCCGTGATCCATACTTTCAAGAATAAAAACAATCATCGCGTTCACCCAATGCAGATCAGAGCAGGTTATAATTACGCCGTCTGTAATTAAATATGACAGTTAAAAAAAAAAAAAAAAAAAAAAAAAAAAAAAAAACAACAACAACAACGAAGAACACGACTTCAACGAACTACACCTCTAGAATGGCCGCGAGATAGCAAACCTGCGGTACGCGCAAGGGCCGGTTTTTGAAGGCAGGAGGGGGGTGGGAGCCCAAGTATAGCTAACCTCAATCTCCATTTCTGCTGCGTCTTGCCCATAAGGATTACATGTGAAAATTTCAACCTATGTAAACTTTATTTTTTTTGAGGTTTGCTTTCAAAGTTCCTATTTTTTGAATTATGAAAACCTTTGGAGGTGCGATTATTATGCAATCTTTTCATTGCTATCACTTTATTCAACAATATTCGGCAAAATGTGGGCAGCGTCTGACATGGGTTTAGATGGCAGCCTGCTGTGTGAGCCCAAGTAAACCTAACCTATATCAACTTCAAAACGTTCCGGGTCTCTAACACTGGTCGGCCATTCTAGAGGTGTAGTTCGTTGCACGACTTCATCGTTTCTACGAGGGGTTCTCAAAAGTAGGATCTCCAAACAAATTAAATTATTAAATTATTATATTATCATGCGCTAGGAAAAATTCGAGACTCTGCCTCATCGGGTAGCTCTCCCCATAAAAGAAAGAAAGAAAATATTCAACGTATTTTCTTGAAAACTTCTTTGAATAATCCTTTCCTACACCGTGTGCAAAGTTTTCGGTGAACCTTCAAGCAATAGTATGTTGGTCCAATTCTGAGACACCGCACCCGGAGACACGGGTCCTCACAGTGTCATATTCGATAGACGCCGCGCGCCTTTAAGGACACTGTTCCTGATCGCTGACTAGAGATGGGCAAAGAGGTGCCAGTGGTGATGCCAGACTGCCTGAGGAGTGAGATTTAGTGACAGTCCTCATCGATGACCCTTACGATATTACTAGCCGTTCTGGGCGCGCTTCGCGCACCCGTCTCGGCTACCGTGGTAAAAATTGGCGATAAGAGCTGCGTTTCAAAATACCATAGGAATTCTTATAGCCGGCTAAAGAAGGCTACAGAAAATCATATAGCTGGCTGTAGAATGCGGAGAAAATCATACGGCCGGGCTGTACGAAGTGATAAAAAATCATGCAGCCGGGCTATAGTTCCCATAGCCCGGGCTTTTCACTTTATCGCCTGGCTGTTGCTTTTTCGCCATCGATTATAAAAGGCTATAAGAAATTGTGTGGAAATTCGTGTGCTTTGGAAATCATTAAGTTTGATACGGAACCACTTTAATATTTACAAAACACACGTTATATTTTCCTGTAATACATATTTTTTTCATCAATTAAAACGAGAATAATCCATACAGGATGTGCAAACATTTCAAAATCATGAGTTGAAAAACGCTGACTCCGCCAGATTAAATATTAGAGCCTAACACAAAGCGGATCGGCGACGCACTAGCGCCTACAAACCTAACGGGGATACTTCACGCATTGCGCAAAGAGTGAAGTATCCCTGTTAGGTTTGTAGGCGCTAAATGCGCGTTTCACGCCGGCTGCCCGCCTGCCGCACCGCAGCGTGCCACGGCGCTTGAAGCAACTATTTCACACCAGAGGTATTGCACAGTATCATACGAAACTGAAGGCGCTCTGATATATTAGGAATGGCAGGCGTGCATCAAAAGTACGGATCTTTCCTCGCAAAATAAATCAAGATACTATGGCCCAAAAAGAGAGCAGTGGTCCAAAAACTCACCAAGTCCCAGCATCCGAAATTAGTGACGTTTAGCATACACTTTATCGCCTGGCTATGAGTTGCTTAATCGCCATTGGCTATAAAAGAAGAAATTGTGTAGTCGGCTATATATAGAAGCTATTGGAAATCTTACAGCTGGCCGTAGGTCTATGGTATTTTGGAACACAATTCTACTGCCAATTTTTACCACGGTAGCCAAGGGGCTGCGCTCCCTGAACCCTCGCGTAGCGAGTGACATACGATTCGCTCCGCGAACTCTTTTGCTAAGTAGTTGGACATTTGATCACTACGATCACTTTGATACTACCTCGTATGATGTATATGTTACGGGCATATCCCGTTTCCGGACAGATCCAGTTGCGCCCGGGCACACTTAGGTTAGCCCGGGCGGATCTAGATCTGAATGAATCAGTAATTATATCCTCATTTCATTTCCTTCCCCTTTCATTTTTTCCTTTTTTGTAGCATCTGTGTCCATTTACAATTATTATTTTAAAATAGCTTTCCCGTGTATATATTTGATGCTTCATACGGAACCAATTTGTTTTAATGACATTTCCGGCTAAATCATGGGTTTTCCCAGGAAGGCAGCCTCTCGTCCCTCCCAGACTCTCCGCCAGAAAAGTTGCTTTTTTGGCACTCTTCCCCGTTCAAACCCATGTAAAATGTTCACATTTATCGCAAAATCTGCCAACCCTTCGAGTGGAATAGAAAAAATTGGAATAATCGACAAAAGGCTGAATCCTTCGAAGTTTATATAAATGATGATTATACTGGGCAGTTGCTTAGTTCTCTACATCGATCGCCGAAGTGCGAAACCATGTACCTACCTCCGTTGTGATGTTTCAAAATCTCCGCTACTATTTTATTTTTCCGAAGAAAAACAATAAGCCAAACAAGATTTATATCTTGAAATTTATACAGAATATTCCGAAAAAGAAAATAGAAATCAAGGAAGTTTTCAAGAGTTTATGGTGAGACTAGTTTAGCAAAGAAAAAATAAAATATGACGGGAAATCTGCAACGTCGCAATCGGAGGTGCGTGGCTCCGCAGGCAGGCAATCGATCTCTCCATGGTTTTCATACTATTCATTCAAAGAGATAGGCCACTACTTTTGACACCTTTGAATTGAAATACCTATCCATCGCAATGCCTATCCATCGCATCTTTCGGAGAGCTGTTTCCGCGCAGCACTACACAACTCACCTCGGTTCTCGTAATTTAATGAGTGTTTTAAGTTAGCTGTAGAGGAAGGATGGCGCCTCCCTTACTTCCGTTACTCCATCTCCGTATTAGAGTAGGTAGAGTCATATGAATGAAAGTCATGGGGTGAGGACGTTGACTGTGAAGTTGTTGACTCTGCCATCTCCGACGAGAGAGTAACGAAGGCAGTTGGGGAGCTTCTCGAAGAAGACAAGACACGTGCCAACGAAGGTGCCATCAGCAAGGAAGAGCTCAAACGTGGATTTATCGAAGATTGCATGGAGGTCGATGTTAGTGGTGCCGGGTATAACGGCAACCGACATCTTGTCGGTGAAGAAGCGCTGTGAAAACCCGAAAGTTCTACCGCGATCGATCCATGCCTGGCCGGCGTTGGCGTCGTAGCCCCAGACCAGCTGCTCGTGGTTTTCGCTGAGGAGGGAGAAACTAATCCGACTCCGAGGCCCCAGATCCACGATCGCGTGGATCTCCAAGGCTTTGTCGCCAGGGACGGAGCACGACTCGGCACCCACGGGGACCTCCCGCCGATAGAGGTTCTCCAGTCCGACAGGTTTCTGCGTTAGGAAGTACTTGAAGTCCTCCGTATATCGGAGGCCGAAACCACGGGCAAGCGTCATGACCCCGCGCCAATCGCCGGTCGGCGTGAAGTTGGCGTACTGCCAGTTGCTGAGCCACGCGATGCCCAGCGGGGCCCACGCGTTCGAGTAAGTCTGCAGGGCGTAGAAGTCCTTGCCGAAGTCGACGAACTTGGTCTCGTAGTAGTCGGGGGTGAAGGTTGTCCCGTCGAAGTCGCCGACGAAATACTGGGTGCCGCTTCCGCCGAGCGGGGAGCCGGGGTTGATGGAGATGGCGAGGACCCATTTGTAGTGACCGTCTTCGGTGGGGACCCGCATCAAGTTCGGGCACTCGTAGTCGATCCCGAGGATCCCGGCCGGGCCGAAGCTGCTCAGCTCCCTCCAGTTGACCAGGTCGCGCGAACCGTATATGAGGACTTGATGCTTCCGCGCCTTCACGACCGTCATTTTATACTCATGAGTCCTTTCGTCCCAGAAAACCTGAAGGCAAAGCAAGACAGTTGTTATTAAGAGCAGGATGGGGGAGGGGAGAGGAGAGAGAAAAAAAGGAAACTCACCCCGAACACTGCAAATGAAAGGATGGTAGAAGGAAGCGGGGTCCATTCTATTTTGAGGGAAAGTCGAAGCCCCCAGAGGGGTCTGGGAGGCTTGCCTCTCCCTAACTTAACAAGGAGTCCCTAGAGGTCCACACTCTGGAAAATTTTGAAACTTTGCAGCTGAAAAACTCATTTTCCTGGCAATTTAAGCGAAAAATATTTGCGTTTCCTAGACCGTAAATATATGTATAATTTTTGAAGAGTTTTTGGTGTAAAATACGAGATCAAAAATTTAAGTGACAGCAACTAAAGGCAATAAGTCGAGAAAATTACCAAAAATGGGCGGCATGTAATGGTTATTAGAAGATATCAAAGGAACACAGTGAATCCAAGCTCGAGTTTTTTTTTCCAACGCGTAGGTTGATTTCAATGCCTATTAATTCGACTTACGTTGTGCACTAATAGTTTTTTTTCTCTTTTCTTTTTTTTTCTTTTCCCGCGAGCGGGAGGTTTGAATTTAATGTTTATGATGTGAGCTACAAACGATGAATAAATCAAACACATTAATCAATTAATCCAAAATTCATCGAACAGGAGTCGACATAGTATTTTAGGCTTCGTCCGCCATCTTTGATTTAAGAATTTTTAAAACTTGACTAAAAATTCGAGTTTCCCGTCGAAAAGTACCTCTGCTCCCGCGGTTCACAAAGCTCTACAATGAACGGAAACCGAGATAGAATTCTAGGCCACATCCAACAACTTGGAGTTGAGAATTTAAAAAAAAATTGACTAAAAATTCGAGTTTCCCGTTGAAAAACACCATATAATACCGCGTTTCACAAGACCCGAACAAACAGAAACCGAGATAGCATTTTAGCCCACGTCCGCCTTCTTGGATTTGAGAATCTTAAAAAATTGACTAAAAATTCGAGTTTCACGTCGAAAAATACCTCCTAACACCGAATTTCAGAAGAATCCAGCGAACAGGAGCCGAGATAGCATTTTAAGCCACGTTCAGTCATTTCGGATTTTCGAATTTTGAATTTTTTGAATTTTGACAGATTTTGATTTAAAACGCGTAATACTCAAAATCGAAGCTCAGATTCGGATTCCTCGTAAAAAATCGATGTGATTTCATGTATCATACCCTGACACCGAGTTTCACAAAAATCCATCGAACAGGAGCCGAGATAGCATTTTTAGCCACGTGCCCACGTCCGTCATTTCGGATTTTTGAAGTTGGAAAATGTGACTTAAGACGCGTGATACCCAAAATCGAAGCTCAGATTCGGATTCCTCGTTAAAAATCGATGCAATTTCATGTATCATACCTGAGCATAGCGTGGAGGAAAGAGACGTAACGTAGGCATACCTACTGATTCGAGCATATGAATCCAACGTGGCAACATGGGTAGTGCTCGATACATGAAATCTCATCAATTTTTCACGAGGAATCCGAATCTGAGCTTAGAATTGGGATACTACGCGTTTTAATCTATTTAAAATCGTAGGAGAAATTACAGAATTGTTCTTGAAAATTGATCACACATTAGTGTTTTTCTTTACCCCGTTTTTCTTCTGCGTTTTCTCCTGCGTTTTCTCCTGCAAAAATGGGTGAAAATCGGGGACTTTGCCCCCCCCCCCCCAACTCGAAAACGGTGCGTATGCTCAATCTGAAATTTTAGTAAGTGTAAAGGGTCACCCTAAGGATGAAAAAAACCTCACTTTGACCCCAATTTCGAGGGCCCAAAAATGGGCCACTTTGTGCATGGCTCTTTCCGAAGTACGTTCAACGTGCTCCGAGTGAAATTTTGTTGAGAAAACATGTACTATAATTGATTTGTTCCTCTGTCTTGCGGTCCATTGTAAGCAATATATTGATGGCCAAAGTGCGAAATTATGCATCTCCATTTGTGACGTTGCAAACTTCCTATCATACTTCATTCCTTATTTGGAATTCTGGTCAACGTAATTTCTTGAAAACTACCTTGATTTTCCCTCTTTGCTAGCAGAGTATTCTGCATACATTGCAATTTATAAGCATTTCTTGGTTCTCTCCGAGAGAATTAAATAAGAGCTAAAATTTTGATACACCGCGATGGAGATACGTATTCTTGTAAGTACCAGGGCCGGATTTACCAACTTGCCGCCAATGGCCCGCCTGTATTTAGCCGCCTCCTTCTTATTCGTGTTGAAATATTAATAAAAACCATCAAGTGAACGTGCCGGAGGGGGAAGGGTGCATAAGACGCGTTCACTCGTGTTGGACACATTTTTTGCGTAAGCCCTGTCAACACTACTAGCAATAGTTCACGGAGCTTTGCGCGAAAGTTCAGTTCCGTAAACATATCTCTGTGTGGACAAGGCCTTTCATTTGTAAGAAATGAACTGAAAAATTAAAAAAGAACAAACATAAATGTGGTTTAATAATTTTAACTTCCGCCGCCCCGCCGCCACGCTGACCGCACTGTGTTTGGCGCGACGCGCGATGCGTGAAGTATTCCTACAGCCTTGTAGGAGCTATGCATCGCCCGCCGACCGCTGCTGACTGCACTGTGCTTGACGCAATGCGTGAAGTATTCATACTCTCATGTAGGCGCTAACATGTGTTACATACCGATCGCCGTGCCGCGCCAAGGGCCTCTCCTTTTCATCTCAAGTCCTCGTCATCATTGCTCTCTGCGCCGCGCCGCTCCAAAATTGCGTGTTTGGCTTCTTTTTTAACTCGACTAATGGGTCTGTTGTACCATTTTTTTTATTGCTTTTAATCAAAAGAACTAAGACTCCTAATGTCACAGGAATTTTTCCGAAGTTTTTTTATCAACAGAAACTCCCAAAAAATCAATTTAAGAACGCCTCAAAATTCGAATTTTTAAAACGGTCACTTTAGCGCGGCAACGGATCCGTTACCCTCGTTACGTCACATCGCATGACAAACGTAGTCTTTTCATCACTTAAAATGTATATTTTCCCATGAGGAATTGGCAGTCGATTTTCAAATGCAAATGTCGAGTCCATCGATGATTTTTTGCACAAAATAGAATTCAGAAATGGATTCCTTGGAAGTTTAAATGGTTTAAACCTTCATTAGATAAATAAGAATCGACGGGATAAACCATATTTTTAAGGAAGACTGTAGTCAATGGGCGATTGTTTACAACTGCCACAGTGATAACAGACATGGACAATAGCTCAATATTTAGCCATTTTCATGAGTTTTTACTTTTTTGTCACTATTTGAAGGTAAGTTTATTTTGTAAATCAATTGTATAGTGCCTATTAGGATAAAAGCTGTAAAGGTACTCATTTTTACTTATTAAGTCTGAACACGCTCCGGCAGTCCAACGCTCAAACCTAGGTGCAGCGAGTCAGTTGTTATTTCTTAATATTTCACCCCTCAATGTTTCACTGAAGAACCAAAATGATAGTATCAATCATTGATGAAAAAAAAAAATTACCACTGACAATACTGATGAGATGAGGAGACCGGTATGTTTATGATGGAGACGAGGAAAGTAGACGTAGGATCCTTCTTCGGTTACCAGACTTATCATTACATTTTTCCGCATAGTGTTACATTAGAAACACACTGGATTTTAAAGCAACACAAGTGTATAAAACGTGGGAACGTTCTGAATGATATTCAGATGTTTGTTGAAGAGTTAAGAATGATTTACACCCATTGAGAGAACATCCATGGTTTGAGCGTTGGACTGCCGGAGTGTGCTCTGAATTAATAATTAACAATGTATAGCGTTACAGCTTTTAACTTGCTGTGTGATAACGCACGGCCACATGCTGCAGCAAATACTAAATCTTTTCTAAATAAGTTTAGATGGGAAATTATCCCACACACTTCGTATTCACCAGATCTCGCGCCCATTGATTATCATCCGTTTAAGAAGTGATGAAGATATCAAAAACGCTGTCAATTTATAGCTTAAAAGGCAGCCGATCGACTGAGTTCGGTGCACAGGGAATTAAAAAGCTAGTAGGTATCGCGAATCAGAAATGCTTAAACATCGAAGGGGGCCATGTCGAAAATAAGGTAAGATTCGAATAGTGAATTATTTAATGAAAGTTACTTTTACTGAGCGAAAAATGCATGATGCTCCGATACTGCAATAATTTGGAGCCGCGGAGCGAGGAGCGGTGCATGCGGGAAAAGCTCAATATCTTGGCAATCATCGATTCAAATGCAAAAAAACAAGAGTTTGTTGGAAAGCTGAAAACGTTTCTTATAAGCACGTTTTTACAGATTTGTTTCTAGCTATACCCTGCTAGAAATGATGAGTAGGCTATTCAGAACTCGCCAACTCTCATGAGTAGAACTTTCTACTTAAATATGAGCAGAAATCCTACTCATATGAGTAGAAATTCTACTCATATCATTAGAATATTCTACTCATAAGGATAGAAAAGTTCAACTCATATGAATTCAATTTTTTTTATTTTTCAGAAGTGCTGTTTCTGACCAGGAGACACTGACATCATATAATGAATGTTTGAAAAATAAAAACATTTTTTTCTTATGATTTATTTGATGCGGTGACTGGTTTCTGAGATATCGGACACGGTAGATTCAACTCTGAACTCATGCGAGTTGAAATCTCTAGTAATATGAGATGGAATCTCTAGTCGTAGAAATTGGCGAAAACTGGATGGAAAAATTCTGCTCAAATGAGTTTAATTCTATTCATATTTAAGTAGAAATTCTATTCATATGAATTGAAATTTAATTCACCTGACTTCGATTTTCTACTCATTTGTACTCACCATTTTTAGCAGGGCAATACTTTCCGAGAAATTAAATAGAGAAACTTATTTTTGGAACGACCCTCGTATTACCTGTGGGTCCCGAAAGGAGTCGGAATTGCGGTCGAGCACAGGGTTACCCTTGTACTCCTGAAAAGTGCGACCATTATCTGAACTGAAGGCCAACTCCTGCGCCTGCTTCGTTTCGGATGCGCGAGTGTAGATGGCTGCAATGAGGGAGTTGTTGAAGATGACGGCGCTGCCACTGAAGGCCTGGCCGGCGGAGGTCTCATTGATCGCCATGGGGAGGGTGACCCAACGGACGAGGTCGCCGCTCACCGCGTGGCCCCAGTGGACGTTGCCGATGATCGGGGCGTAGGGATCGTACTGATAGAACAGGTGAAATTCGTGGTCCTTGATGACGAGGCCGTTGGGGTCGTTCATGAACCCGGAGGATGGGGAATAATGGATGGTCGGTCGATACTTGGAGGAGTCTCCCAGGTAGGACGCCAGGACGGAGGGCCACAGGCACAGGGCGAGTCCGACCCCGACCACGGTGGCCAGCCCAGGGTATCTGCGTTTCCAACGATGGCCATCGACTCGATGACGTGGCGGAGGCTCATTGGATGCTGGACGCACATCGCTCGGATGTCGTGGAAGGGCATTCCAACTCTGTGGAGAATGGAGATAGTGAGTTAGTCACGATAAAACGAGTTCGGACGATAATAAGAATTAAAGGATCCTTCCCTATCGTATCCCCATAGTTTGTATCCGAGAGACTCATGTTAAGCCACATATTATTATTGACAAGTAGATCGCGTCAAGCAGAAAGGAGTCAAGCCACGTCAGATGTTGCCAAAACTCGGCATTTTAATATTTTACATGAAAACGGTTACGCAGATTTTTTTGCAAATTTCACCCTGGCGCGCCACACATTTCTGCGTGCACTGCTTTATGAGTTAGACTTACCAGAACGCCTTCCATTCCTTCATATGCAACACGCACGTCCATAGAGTAGGATTAGTTGTATCAAAGCGTTATTATCAACGTATTTGAAATAATATAGAATGCGTCGCTCGTGGTGATTGAGACATTAGCACGGAAAGTCCCGCCACGTCTTATCCTACTCGAGCACCGTTTAAAAATTTGAATCTAAAAATCAGCCCATTTAAAAATGCTAATAATTTGAAGTTCATAGGTTAAAAATTAATATTAATCGATCTTTTTTCTTATTTTCTGGGGCACAATTCCCTTCACTTGATGTTACTCGGGGATTGACAGTGTTGTTGAGATTACGATCAGCGATCAGTCGTGAGAAAAGCATTGGAACGTTATGGTGAGTTTCACAGACCACTCGTGCTAGGCTTTTTTCGGTTATTTAGACCGCGTTTAGCAGAAAAGAACCAAGCTGCATCAGCTATTGTCAAAGATTGGGCAATTTAATTTTTTACAAGAGATCGTTTGCGCGGTTGAGAATTTTAAAGAAACGGTTCGCTTCGTGCTATGTAGAAAATTCACTGGAATTCGCACAAAAATCTGCACAACCGATTTTATGTAAAAAACTAAATTGCCCAAATAAATTTAGTAATAGCTGATGCGACTCAGTTCCTTTCTGTTTAACGCGATCCATTTTAGGTCGGATGATGTTTGGAACGACGGGGAAGTCAAATAGGAAATGGCTCCCAGAAATCGGACTTTCGTGGATTTAAAGTGTCTTAATTCCCCATCGCGGATTCATACCATATGAAACCCTCGGTTCCGAACATCAACGGACCTAAAATTACCGAGAAAAAAGTCTGACAAGGGTGATCTGGGACACTTTGTATATAATTAGCAACGCTTTATAACGGCTGATCGATAGATCGTAAAATCAACAACGCAGTCTACATTTATCGAGAAACGGCGTGGGGGCATACAAAGTTAGACACAAATACATTAATCGATTCTCCTCTCAGTCAAGATATTGCAGCATGGACAAAGAAAAAGACAGGAGAGTGGGGGAGGAAAATACATTCTTAAATTTACTCCCAATCCTACCTGAATGATTAGGGAATCCTTGATTTGAAAATTCAATTCTTTTTCATTGTTTCGGCATTCCTCCACCAGCATTTTTCGACATTGCTTTCCTTGTTTCAAAATGTCGGCCAACTGAACTGAAACCAGGAAAAATTTAGAATCATCAGAACAAAACTCTGTAGGTAATAAGACAATATGTTGATGCACAGGGAATAAGAAGCCTCTCTCTCTTTTATTTTATTTAACATTAAACCTCAAGTAGTAAAATTAAAATAACGATGAAGCAAGAGCTCCACCCTTCGCCACGCTAAAACATGGAACAATTAATTTTTGTTAATAAATAAATTACCTGTAACTAGTGCTTTACTCCCATTTTTCATATTATTTTACTACCTGTTCGCCTTATACATATCGACGGTGAAAGTACCAAACCACGTATCTCGGTTTGCGACGTCGCAGACTCGACGTCAATTCTTGAAAACCTCAGTGATCTTTCTTCTCACAAAAAATCTTGATCTTTCTTGTCAGTGCGAAAAAAATTATGTGAAAACTTCAAGGAATGATATTGAACTGTTCTCCTCCAAAAAATTAAAATGAGAGCGGAGATTTCTAAACACCGCCATCGCGATACGTGGTCTGATAGTTTCACCATCGACATATCACTCTAATTTATTTCCATCATGGAATGATTCGAAGATCACGCACAGAGATGATGTAGTATCGTAGCGGTCACGTGGATAGAGCGCGTAATTATTCTCGGAGACACGAGTTGTAAAATCTATCAATTTTTGGTTTGTTTTGATGAGAAAATGAACTTCGTCCGTAACCGGGTCACAATGTAGGGAAGGCCTTGTCAAATTCTTGACCGATGAGTCCAATTCAGCAGTACTTCTTTCTTAGAATATGCAAGAAATAAAATGACGGCAGAGCACGGAAGCATTGCTCAGTATCTCGGTCAATACCTATGTCTAGAGGCAACTATTCATGCTTAATGGATGTCCGTGTTGCATCTCCGGAAAAATGAAGGCACTTAGGAGTAGCGGAATGGCTTAGCGTGACACTAAAATATATCCAAGGTGAAACTACCAAACCACGTATCTCGTTTGCAGTGTTTTAAAATCTCCGCTATTACATTACTTTTTTTAAGGAGAACAAATCAAAATCATTCATAGACTTTTACTCACACGGAGAAGAAAAATTATTCAAGCTTTTAAAAATTGACGTCAAGTAACTTTTAATTTAAAAAACCTAGCCTATATGGCAGGAAGTCTGCATCGTCGCAGACCAAGATACAAGGTTTGGGATTTTCGATGTCGACATGCTATTACTGCATAGCATCTAGCAAGAGGCGTAGAAGTAAGGCTGTAGGTATATGGTACCCTCTTATACAACTGCGAGATGTTCATTATCATACGAAGTTAGACTGCCTCTGACCAAATGCCTATTTGTCCTTTGAAAAAGTGTAAGGACCTTGAGCGACTAGATAGTATTCAGGTTTCTCAAAAAGATAAGCAGCTTAGTTATTCGATAATTTATGTCATGAGATTGGCATATTTTCCTAAAATTTCGTTCAAATTGGCGTTTCTGCTTAAGGAAGGGAGTTTGAAAATTTTAGTGCACTATCTATAAGAACATAATGCTTGATATTTTGGCTCTATAGGTATTAACAGCATTAGATTGCTTACAGTTCACATTTTCTCATACACAAAAATACCGAAATGATTTCATACTTTCATTACACAACGATTCAATCCATGTGCCGTAAAAACTTCGAGCGTTTAAGTTTCCGATTTTCGTCCAAGTAATGATAACGACCTAGTATTTACCAGGAAAAATTCACATCCTGTAATGGTATGATTTGCCAGGAAAGACTTATTTGTAGGTAGTTCAGGAAAATCATTAGTTCGATAGTTGAAGGAAGTAACTCACGCATAGCAGGAGTAAGACGATAGTGCTCGCTTAATGTCCCAGGAGAGTGTGGCGATAGCAACGGTGAAATTTCCACTTCGCAACGCTTATTAAATTTGCGTATTTCGTTGGGTGCTCTGTGTCGTCACGCCGAACTTGATTTGTGTGAGTATCGCCAGTTCCACTTGCTTTAAATCAGATTTTCCCTTTCCCCGCGCGTGGTCAGAAGCGCTTGATAAATTCCAAGTATCCAGATAACATACGTCGCGGAAACATCTCCGCCAGGAATTTCAATAATAACAACATTCTAACTGTCTAAATTTCTCTCTACGCCATTCATGTTTGATCATACTTTACCCCGCTCATCTGGTAGTATTCGCCGAATTGACGCCCAGTTTCGACAGTGAGGAAGTGACAAGGAGGTATAACACAGTGCCAAACCCCTTATGACTGTCGGGTGGTCCCATGTTTAGTTCCTGGTTATGAGAGATAATTCCATCAGTGCTTTTATGTTAATCGGCATGAATAAACCTACAACTACAGTGTATATCTATAAAAACATTCATATAACGCATGCAGCAGGGCAAAATATGCCCTAAGGTGTGGGAACCATGACTTTGTTTGCAAATAGACTAGGATCTGTCTTATCCGATTATTATGCACAGTCCATCTAGCATTATCACGTATGTAAGAGCAAAGGCGCAAGGGGATGTCACTTTAAAACATCCTTAAGCTTCCTAAAGCTCGAGTTAGGTTACGGAAATAAAAAACTTGGTGTAACTATCTTGCAACATTACAGAATTTCAGTCGTCTTATATGATTTTTTGACAAGAGAGCTGTCTTGCGTTTTTATCTGGAAATTAACATTTTCTAAGACTTTAAACAGGGTTTTCTGAAGTTTAGCACCAACAATTTTTCAGCAGTTTACTTTCCTGAAACAATAACAAAGATATTGCAGATAACTTTAAAACCATGTAAAGGAACTTTGCCACCGCTCCCAACGACACGACGGGCATTTAGGTCACTAAGTAAATAGGGATTTAAATTCTAAAATTATCAATTTCCTCAAAACAGGCCCCAACGCGATGGAACAATTTCATGAGAAACTAGGTGGCGTTGACAATAACTTCACGATCCACTATCTGTGACGTAATATGAATGAAAAAATCCCTCTTATCTAGCCAAGGGTCAATGAAAGTAGGCTAATTCACGAATAATTTAGGTTGTTTCCTACACGAACGTGTGAGTATCGGATGTGAATACGTGATTTATTACCTGAGCTTTCACCAGATTGAAGATGCCTAGTGAAAAAAATATAAGTAATTTTAAAAAATTAAGTAAAATTTTTGTTTCAGAGTGTCAAGAAGCAGAACGCACGCAATTGTTAGACCACAGATGGAGAAAGTACAAGCACGACGCATTGCAAGACAATTTTAAAACGTCAATAATGCAGCTAGGGGCGAATAACAAGGTTTGTATGCTTGTATTCCGTTCAACCAGATTTGACGCACTTATTCTGCATTTTCAAAAAATTAGAATGCAAAATCTGGTACAATTTGGAAGCCGAAGAAGAATTTACCACACAATAATTGAAATCATTTAAACTTCAACTTACTACTTACTAGACCATTCAAGAAATCGAAGTTTTTGTCATTAACCTTAAAAGTTCTTATAACACTTGGCTCGATAGAGACTAGGAATTCCACTGATTTGATCGCGCTATATGAATATCCTTTATCGTGTGGCNGGGGGGGGGGGGGGGATACAATCGGCACCACTTCTTGAAGCTAGTATTGATAAACTAAGAAATAGGAACACTTCAAAAAAACCGCGAACAATTCAATTTCTACACCCGCGTAAAACAATGGACCGACGAGTGAAGTGTCTTAATCACCATGTATTGCGGTGTTTGCCTGATACATAAATATGACACGATTTCGTTTAGAACTGCATTAGGATTCCGCCAATTTACCGAGAACAATTGACCGGGACCTAACCTCGATGATAAAATGCGCTCGAGTTCGCTCACTCTTTGCTGCGTTCTCGCCGTTCTCCAACCGGGGCCCAGTTGTTCCTCGGAGGTATACCAACCGCACTACCACCAAAGCGTCCCGTACAGAGGCGAGATCACCCAGAACATCGAGCGAGGAGAAGGCCTCCAAGAGACCGCGTACGACCCGATCGTATCACAAATCACCCTCGACGGCATAAGCCCTGAAGTGACGTCACGGCGAATTGAATGCAACCCTGTATACACGCAGGAAGCCCCATACGTAGGCGTGTTCAACCAGAACATCTCGAGTGAGGCGAGCGGAATCCAGAGACTCGCGTACCAACCCACGTTCCTGCAGGAAGAACACCTCAAGAATATTGCCTCAAGCTCTGCTACAGTCACTCAGAATGCTCCTCACGACACTTCGTTCAAGCAAGAAGTAGGTGACGGGAGCACTGGGAATCAGAGCACCCTGATTGCTCCAGGTTTCCACCAGAGTTCTCTGTCCACTCGACTTCATGGGTGTTCCGGTGGGTTTGATCGACAGGACTCAGCCGGGATGACTGCGTATACCCAAAACGTGCCCATTGGGACAAACCAGAGCCAAGCGGTGGGTGGAAACGGTACTGGTTTTCAGAGTCTTGACGTCAGACCAAGCTTCAGCCAAAGTGCTGGTAATATTGACCGCAACCAAAATTCGAGCACGTCGTTCGTGCAGGAGAACTGCTTCGTGGGCAGCATGTCCCAGGTGATTAACGAAGGCGGGAGAGGCGTTCAGCGATCAGGCTATGCGCCGACGTTCGCACAGAGCGAGTTCAAGGTTGAGTCCTCCCGGAAAAATGATAACTGCCTTGAGGACGAAGACCACGAGGACAAAAAAGCGGGAGGGATGAGCGGGGGATTACAGCAGAGCGGGGTGTATAATAACGAAATGCGCCAAGTAATCTATCCTGGAGGATCAGGGCTGCAAACGTCGCACTTCGCGCCAGTTTTCAGGCAGCATCATATGGTTGCACGCAAGAAAACGAAAAAAGGTCTGGCGGAAAGACCTAAGAACACCTGCAGTATGCAAAATACTTGTTGTAAAGCCAATTCTTGCTGCGAACCGAGGAATCCTTGTAAGTTCAACTCTTGCTGTGAGTCAAATGTTTTTTGCAGACCCAGCATTTGTTGTGCGGTCAACACTTGATGAAAATAAAGCACTTGTTCCAAACCTGACGATTATTCTTCATCAAAACCTTGCAGTGACTCCCTCATCAGGCGTGCGTCAAACATTTGCCATAAATCTCAGATTTATTCTGGTAGTATGTTACCACTGGTGCAGTAATGTTAGTACTTTAACATAATGAACCCTTTCAAAATGGCTTATTAAAGTAACAGCACCAGGCCCGCCACAAGGGGAGGATACTGGGTCCCTGGTGCCGGGGCCCGGGCCCCGGAGGGGGCCCGTGTAACCCGTAAAAAACCACTACGAATTCACATGCAACCCTTGTTTCGTATGAAAAAGTGAAAAATTTACCCTAAAAATTTCGCAAAAGGTGAATAGATTTTCAGAAACACGCTGGGGCACTGTAGAATTCTTCTTAAATTTTCAAAGAAGTATACTTCTTGGAAAATTTCTATTTTCAAGATTTTCAGTACAGAGGGATATTTTTAGTAACTGCGTTTCATTTTCTTCCGTCGTCAGACGCTAAGAGTCTCCAGTCTGGGCATCCTCGACTTCAATGGCTCATGGCTCAACTTCCTTGCCATAGACAAACGAAGGGGGAGTCCAGGGGGGCCTGGCCCTCTTAGAACTGAAAATAGTATCATATGCCCCCCCCCTCCAAAAAAAAATCAAAATTTTCCAGATGTTTTGAATGCAACAATTCGCTGAAAGTAGCGCGTAGCGCGTTTTGAGCTGAAAGTAGAAAAAAACATAATTATTCCGCAGAAATTGATGGATAAATTCTTTATGGAAGCTTCAAAATGCGTCCGATTAGTCGTATAAATTCTAAAATTTCTCGGATGATGTTCCTCAGACCCCCCCCCCTCCGTGCTTTTGGCCTGGACCTTAAAACTGGTACCAGGGCCTGAGATGGGATGTGGCGGGCCTGAATAGCACTGATAATTTAGTCATACATTAACACGTTTAAAATCCTGTTATTCTAAGAAAAAAAAATTAAATATATATAATATTAGTTTTGTTAAGAGGATATATTTATATTTTTCAGTAGTTTTCAATGCATCCTGGCAATATTCTTATTTCATCAGTTAGGAACGGGGAGAGGGCAAATGTAGGAAGAAAAAGTTGCGTGAAAATATTTCTAATTTTGGTAAATTTTGACTTGAGTTGCTTTAATCAGAGCTCTAATTTCCTCTTTACTAATCAATTTTAGGTTTAAATTTATGAATAATAAAGAATATTAAGAACGTACCAAGAAAGACTGTGCAAAGCGATGAAATCAATTGCGGAGGTGCACAAATTCTCGCTATGTCCTGAAAAACTCAATTGCCCTCTAAGGTTAAGAGCATAATTTACTTACACAATTTAAATAGTGTCACGTGATTTTATTTCTAGGTGATAATGGTATTCATCAATAGTGTCATGACGATACGCTATTTTTAGTTTCTCACTCCCCTTGTTTTTCTTTGAAAGAGGGAAATCATAATATTTTGAAAGTAAACTGTTTTAACGACCTATCATTTCACATGAATGATGGATTAGTTTCGGAGTGCGTACACCCATTTCTTTTTCACCGTCATTAAAAGATAAGAGCTACATGAAAATAGAGTGCAATTAAAGTTTTAGTGTGCTAGGTACCTAAGCTCTATAAAAACGCGGGTTTCCTCCGAAATTACGAGTTCATAAATTAGGACTGTTCGGTATGATAGAATGGGAGGTAAACTTTTTTTGTAAAAGAGGCATGGAAAGAGGTATACAATTATAGTTTATCCAGGTTTCTGCATTTAAAAATTTTAATATATTGATTTTCGTTTATTTTTTCACCCANGGGGGGGGGGGGGGGGCGCTAGGGTCTGATAAGCTGGAGGAGCTGCACTTTTTGTGGAAGCCCAGTGAATAAAGCCGGCTAAAATGCACGGGAACATAACTCAGAATAATAAAAAAATGTCACTGTCATTAATCCAGATCTGTAAATTTTTGGCTACATCCAGATGACAATTACGGAGAATTTTTAAATATCTCATGGAAAAACGTATGCTCTGGCTGTTATTTACATTTTTTCTTTGTTTATGTAATATACATGGTTTCCCATGTTTAATCAGTTTGTAACATTCAATTTACATTCACAATATGTATTGATTTCCAAAATTTTGGAGCGTTCTTATGGTCTTAACTGGCCCTGTACAGAGAAGAAAGAATGACTGCTTTTAGGATCACTGTCCATAGTGGAGTTCAGGAACTACCTTTTTTATAGTTTTAGTTTTACTCTCGTGACAACAAATATTTCTGTCCCGAACACGCTTCGGGCCGATGACAATGTTACATTGTTACCAAGGTCGAAATCATTGTTACCACTCATATTGTAACTTTGACTAGGACGGATTTCTATCAAATGGAACTAAGCGCCATAGGGGGAGGAAGGTAGAGGGGGGCTTGGATTGGCGGCGGAATCGGGCGTCGTAAAACAAAAATTTCGTTTCCTTCCAAGATAACTGATGTAAACTATTCGCGAATATGTTAACGTTTAAATTTTTAGGACATATATTCAGCCTCAAGGACCCTTTTAGACACCATAAAATGGAATAAAATATGATAATGTGTCCATACAGACAGAAAGAGGGATAAAAGTGTAATTTTTATCATCAATCATAGCTAATGACAATCCTTTATTTTGGAATATATTAACCAATTAACATGGATTATTTACAAAGACTGGAAATATGTACGATTTTTTATAATTTTAACACCCACAAAGTCCACAACCAAGCTCACAGGAATCGCTTGCCCATAA